AGTCGACCCCCCTATAACACTGTTGATAATTCCGTTTTATATGAATTCCATGTTGTACGAGCCAGTTATATTTTACAAATACGTGTGCTGGGCTGTGAACGGCTCATGTATTTGTAAAATCTAAGTGACTCGTACAACATGGAATTCATATAAAACGGAATTATCAACAGTGTTATAGGGGGGTCGACTGGTAGATACAAGGCAATAGATATATGCATGAGAATCTTATTTATTGTATGATTCTCAAATGAACGAATATTCGTTCATCCATAAATATGTTAACTCGTTAATCGCTAATAAATTCGGTCTTCGATTCCCTCGAGTAAATATCGAACTAAAAAAAAAACTAATAAAAAATCCCATTGAAAAACAAAACATTTGAAAAATAGATCGAGTGTTTTATGGATTTTCTCTAAGGGAATTAAATATTAGTCTATAATTTTAAAGATAATTAGAATAATTTGTTGAATATAAATTATAAATAAAAAGATTTATTCGCATTTCATCAATACTAATCGTTATTTTCACGCATACTTTTTTTTAATATGAAGTAAAGAGATATTGGAGAAAATTAATTTCCGTATAAAATAATATAAAAGAATTAAAAATAATTTAAGTAAACGTTTAAAATTCTGTATGCGAAATGCTGGCAAATAAGATGACCCCCGAAGATTCAAAAACAAATTTTGGAAAAGTCGATATAAACAAACAAACGAGCGTGCTTTTCGTTTATATTTAAAAAAATATATATTTAATTTAAATCGAATAAATACGAAATAAATCGGCAATTTCGTTCAAAAAGAATCGTTTTGTATTATATCTTACTTGAGAATTTAGAAGGAAGTCGGCATTTCTTTTTCTACGTCCGGGATCCGGTGAGAAACCCAAACCATCCCCCGATACTTCGCTAGGATTCGATGCAACTATCACAATATTTGGTGTAAAAAATTCGACCTTCTCTCCGGGACTTAATTTAACATTCGATGCAAAAGTATCCACAACCTGTACTAATCTATATAAAAAGAGAAGAGAATATTTGTTCTATACAACAAAGTTTATTTTAGAACCTGTTCAAATAAGCTTATTTGTACAAAGAACTTAAACAAAATGTATTGTAGTTTAAAATTTTAAAGCGATAAAATAAAATTTTATTTACTTTTTAGTGACAATTCCATCTTCGTCTCCAACCTCGTACACGTTATCGTTAACATCTAACATGTTGCTTAGTACCGAAACCATGTCGTAGGCGAGCTGCAATTTATCAAAACAATAACAAAATGAATCACCATTCGCTTATAAAACAATTTTTAAGCCCGTGAATGTAATTATGCATTTCAATTCCGAATTATCTTTAGAATTTACCTTTTGGTTTTGAACCGCGTATTGTACGATGGCTTCTATTTGACTGGCTGCTTGTTGGAATTCTTTGGGACTAACTTTATCTGGATTACTAGTTAGAGCTTGCAACTCGCCAGCTAATTCTTCCGCTGCTCGAAATCCCTATTAATTTTCGTACGGTTAGTTATTTAATTAACGTAAAGTTTTACAGAAAACACAACGAAACAAGAAAAATACCTCCGCTTGGCAGTTATTCGCATTCACTTCGCTCCACTGAACCGAACCATCTGATAGAAGCAGACAACTTCTTTTAGCGTATCCTTCTATTTCTTCGTTTGCCGGATACAAAGTACCGAAAGGGCATTTTATAAGCACGATCATACCATGCTCTGTGGAATTCCACAGGATTTAATTCACATACCGTGATCGTTCCAGTAAACGCATAAGTATTTTTGCTTATTATTTGTAGGAATGACATAAACAACGGGATCGGTCAGATTAGAAATGGAAATATTATTGATGCTTGCCTGAAGGACTTGTCTATCTGAAAAGGAAACCTTTTATATTAATTAAACAGAACGAAAATAGATGTTTAGAAATAAAAACTCTTACAGTATAATACCTGGAAACGTTTTCAATTCGTGACACGGCTCAGTATTTTGGCATCTTGTCTTATTATATTTCCTGGACCGGAAAAACTTATCGTTTTTATACGAAACAAACTTCACTCTGATGTCTTTTATAATTTGTTTCGCTAAATTAAACACTTCGTTGGGCAAAGTAATGCCGGGAATCTATTTATGGAGAAAATATTATTTACAG